TGTCCGAACAATGTTTGAAGATGGCTGACAAGGCTGCCCAGATTGCAAAAGAGATGAGAAGGTATAGCACAGAAGTGCTAGGCTAGGAATCTGCAAAACCAGATGGAATGGAAGTGGACTCTCCAAACTGTCAGCTGCAGAGTCAATAATCTACTCCAATATTGTCACCCACACGACAACCATGAGCACACTGAGTTTTCGAGTGGCTGTCATGATGTCCCCAACAGTATCAAAGGTTCTCTCTCATGCAGTGGGAACCAATCTCCTCCTCCAGCTGGATCATCACAGCAAGGTTCAACTCAAAAGGAGTGAAAGTCACAATCATGCAATGCTACACCACACTACACTACGCACCCACAACTAATGCGGATGAAGAGAAGGAGGAGGAATTCTACAGACAACTGCAATCAGCACTGGACAAGACCCCAACCCAGATGGCGACATCACAATCCATTCTAATGGGTGGGGTGACACGAATGCCAAACTGGGAGCGGACAACATAGGAAGAGAACCAAATATGGGTCGAGAAGCACTCGGTGAAATGAACGAGAATGGAGAACTGTTTGCAGACTTCTGTGAGATCAACGATTTGGTAATTGGAGGCGAGGCAGTGTGCACAAACGCAAGGATAATCACAAGGCAGTGACATGGACTTCACCAGATACACTAAAAATCAGATTGACGTCATCTCAGTTTGAAGAAGGTGGAGATGCAGCCGACTTGACACAGGATCGAGAAGGAAGCAGATGTAGGTTTGCATCACTCACCATCTAGTGCAAGGAATATTCAAAATCAAGTTGAATGCCTTGACGGAATTTGGTGATAGGCCCCGGTTAAAGTTTAACATCCCGAGCAGAAATTGAAGGAAGAAACTGTGAAAAACATCTTTACATCAGCTTTCGGGGAGACATTTAACAGCACCACTGAAGGAAGTACACTGGAACGTTTTGAAAGAGATGCGGAAATAAACCTGCTAACTGTTCTAGGTAGGAAGTAGGTGTAGGACAATGAATAGATCTCGAAGGATACATGGAAGCTGATAGAGTAGGGATAGGAAAATGGTGAGGCAGAAGATAAACCAGTGCGGTGTTGGGATTAACAACGAGAGGAGGAACTGAGCGCAACCCATAAAACGCTACATTGGACAAAGAAGTGAAGAACAATGAGCGCAAAGAAAAAAGGCACCTCTACAACACACTTGCAAGTGAAGCAGAACATGCTACATATAGGAAGGATAGAGACCTAACAACACTTAATCAAATAAACAAAATACCATCTGGGGAGAGATCAACTCAGATGAAACCAATGGAAGATGGTGGAAGAAACCTAGTTGCTGGTAAAGAGGAGAAACAAGGGAAACAAAGGGCTGACTACTTCAAAAAAACTCTCAAAGCGACAACCAACTGCAACTCGCTCAGAAATACCACCAGCAGCATAGCCACAGAATTACCAGTGTGCACAAACCCTCCGACGAAAGCAGAAGTGAAGTCCCGAATGCCACAAAGCTGCTGGAATACGGGGAAGCCACAGGACCGAATGCAATCCCTCCAGAAGCACTGAAAACAGAGACATCAGCGGAGGATATGCTCACACCACCATTGTAGAGAGTTTGGAAGAAAGGAAGGAAAGGTACTTGCCGAGTGGATGAAGGGCTACTTTGTTAAACTCTCAAGGAAGGGAGACCCAAGTCTTTGCAAGAACTGGGGTGGAACCATGCTCCACACCCGTCCTCTCCAAGCAACATATTAAACCTGATCATACAAGAGAGACTACAAAATGCTCTGGACCCAAAGTTACGACCGGAACAGGCTGGCTGGTTTCAGGAAGCGCAAATCATATCCGGATCAAACTGCAAGGCTACCCTGCCAGACGCATCATCATGGAACAGAGCGCCGAACGGCAGTCAACTCTCCACCTCAACCTTATCAACTTTGGGAAGGCCTTCTGAGGCATCGACCGAGAAGTAAGTTGGCAGTTGCTTCAAAACCATGTAGTGCCCCAAATCTTCATCAACCCCATTCAGCGGCTAAATGATGACGCCACATGCCAAGTGATTCACAATGGAGAGCTCAGTGACACCGCTGAAGTTAAAACGGGAGTAAGACCATGCCGCCGCCTGCCAGCACCGATGATGTTCCTGATTGTGGTGGACTGGACCACGCAGCAAACGGTGAGGAGCAAGATGGGCATACGCTGGATCGATGAAAAGAGACCAGGAGATTTGGGTTTCACAGGTGATTACTTTTGATTAATGTCTCGTCGCACAAACTCGAAGATCTACAGGCGAAAACTAACCAGTTGACAGAACAGGCAGGGCAGCGAGGACGGGACTTCAGGTGAATGTAGAGGAGGCGGGAGTGATGAAGGCACCCAAGCAACAACAGCAAGCACCTACCACCATCAACCGGAGAAATCTGAGGGAAGTTG